GTTCTGCCCTCTGATTCAAGGTAAACTTTATTGGCAGTCTCGGGAGTGTCAGGGTGCAATCAAAATATCCCACAAGAAAGACTGCTGTACTTAAAATAATTCCAGTAATATGTAACATTTTTGCTGTGTAAATAAATTCCCTATCTGCCGGAACAGCCAGACTTTAGTCTCCTCTCTTTGTATAAATTGTTTGAAATGTAACCTGGGGCCAGGATCTGGAAGAGATTTAAGGATGACAGTGTTTGTGGAATGCATAAGCCTAAAGTGTATATAATTTAGTAAAATCTGTTGAACACCCAGCTCTTCCTTGGGCGTTAGTCCAGCCAACAAGCACTATGAAAGAGATTTTCCTTAATTAATCTCTAAGTGTGTGGAGTGATTTCTCACTAGGAAGTTATTGCAGGCAAAGGTAGGTACACTCAGTTGGTATAACAAAACTTATATTTTCTTATGCTGAGGGTCTTCACACAAGGTTTGCACTCCAGGTTCCCGACTGATCCTAAGCCTGTCTCCCCAAGGCTGCATGTCTTAGCAGGAGGTCAGGTCCAGTCTCTAATAGTAGTCTCCAGTTCAAGGGTCAGGGTCCTAGGGGACAGTCTTCAGCAGCAGGACAGATCAGGTGGCATCTCTCCAGTCTTCAGCAGTCCTGAAGAGTGTCAAGTGGGTGTCGTAGGGTTTCTGCTTACAAAGTTGTATGCCTGGTTACCTTGAGTAAGCAGTGTCACTGGGTTCTGGTTATTAGGTACAGCATTGAGTGTAGTGGGGATCCTGACTAGGCTATTTCTATGTCCAAAAGTCATTTTTAAAATATGTTCATTACAGAAGGCATTCTATTTTATCAGGGACCTTTCTCCCCTTATTTTGATTTATGCTCTAGACTAGAGCTTCTCAACCTTCCTAATGCTAAGACCCTTAACACAGGTCCTCATGTTGTGGTGACTCCCAACCATAAAATTACTTTCATTGCTGCTCCATAACTGTAATTTTGCTATTGTTATGAACTGTAATGTAAAAAATCTGTGTTTTCAGATGGTCTTAGGTGACCCCTGTGAAGGGGTTGTGACCACAGGTTAAAACTGCTGTTCTAGACAGATCACTCGAGAGAGCACAGGACCTTTGTGAAGCCCCTGAATCAGCACTCAGCTGAGCCATTCCCAGGCTCAGGACTCAAACTGGAAACTGTCTGTCGTTTTCAGCCACTAATTTCAGGGTAATCTGTTGCTCGGCAGTAGGTATTAAATGCAATAGGTGAATAATGTATCAGTCATCTTTCTGTTACTAGAGCAAAATATCTGGGCTGGTTTGAATGAGATCGGCCCCCACAGACTCATGTATTTGAATACTTGGTAACCAGTTAGTGGAACTGTTCGGGAAGGATTTGGAGTTGTGGTCTTGTTGAAAGAGGTGTCACTGAGGGTAGACTTTGAGGTTTCAAGGGCCCAAGCCAGGCATGGAGGGGTCTCTGCAAGGTTTACAGCAAGTGGGGAAAATGATCTGCAAAGAGACAAGAATGAAACTCAGTCTAGACTGATTTTTAGATACCAGTGCTGGGCCATACTTTCTAGAGTCTGATGCCAGATCATTTACGTTAGCCATAGTTAAGCACAGCCCAATTTTGAAAAATACTTTTTTTTTCTGATAACTTATTTCCAAGTGCACAACAAATTCAAGACATCTTTACATTGAGACTTTTTTTTTTTGGAGACAGGGTTTCTCTGTGTGGTCCTGGCTGTCCTGGAACTCGCTCTGTAGATCAGGCTGGCCTCAAACTCAGAGATCCACCTGCCTCTGCCTCTCCAGTGTTGGGATTAAAGGGATGTGCAGCCACCACCACCCGACCTACATTAAGATTCTTTACAAAGTACATCTGGCTTCTTTCACAAGAATGGTTACTGTTGACTCAGAAATAGTACCCAAGATTTAGGTCTAGTGAGATTCACTGAGGTAAACATAATGCCTGTGGGAGTCAGGATTGGCTTGGCCCTAAGATAACATAGAAGTCTCTTAGGCTGTTGTAAATTACAAGTGACATTACTCATAAGGATGGGTTTTATGGCCTAGAAGTAATGATCAAGGTTTTAGGGGGAAAGGGTCCGGGATAAATAAACCATCAATTCTGGAAAATATGGGCAGAACCTGGCTCATCAGACAGCAAAGGATCATCAGGCTGTAAAGTACACCCTTCCCAGCATTCCAGGAGGGTCAGGTTAAACATCTCCTTCCTTTGAAGGATGCTTGTGAGTTTAATTAACTTCCCTGGCTTCTCCAGGACTTGTCAGTGTGCACTTCTTGCCCTCTCCAAGGCCTGTCTTATCCGCTCCGCCTACAACTTGAAGATCATATGTGTGCTCTCAGCTGCTGCTCCACTGCCTGCCTGTCACCGTGCTCCCCGCCATGATGATAATGGATTAACCCTCTGAAACTTTAAGTGAGCCCCTGATTAAATGCTTTCTTCTATATATTGCCTTGGTCTTGGTGTCTCCTCACAGCAGTCGAACAGTGACAGACAATACCTAAGATATAACTCACAAATTCTTGTAACAGGAAGTTATCTGGCTCACAGTTTCAGAGGGTTTATATGGTGATATTTTATTTGTGCTGAAATGTGATTTTATTTGTATGTTAATAAATAAAGTTGCCTGGGGGTCAGAGCTAATAGCAAGCCATAGCAGAAGCTGGGCGGTGGTGGAGCACACCTTTAATCCAATCACATGGCAGGCAGAGTCTGTGTGTTCAAGGACATAGCCAGTTTGGAGACACATGCCTTTAATCTCAATACCAACCATAGAAACCTGGAGGTCTGTATAGACAGGCAGTGACAAGGAGGTCATGTGGTTGGGTTTACAACCAATGAGTAGACAGAACGACACACAGGAAGTAGGTCTCTTTCTCAGGGAAGGACAGCAGCGGATGATAAGAAGTCTGTTTTAAGTCTCAGCTATTAGCTACTGCTCTGACCTCTTGGGCTTTTAACTCAGCATTTGGCTCTGTTTCTCATTTAGTAAGAGGGTTACATCTACAGGTTTAGTCCGTGGCCAGTCGGTGCCACCACTGCTCTGACCCGTGGTCAGGCTTACAACATAGCAGCTAGTGCACACAGAAGCAAACTGCTTACCTCAGGACCTCGAGGTAAAAGGGGGAAAGAGGAAAGGAGGCTTCTCGCTATTTCTTCAAGGACAGACTCTAGATGGTTGATGAGACATCCATCACTTCCCAACAGCACGTTTAAACCCAAGTTTTAATTCAGCTGGGCCCAAGCTACAGTAGTGAGAGGAAGGAACCTCAACTGAGAAAATGTCTCCACAAGGGGGGGTTGTAGGCAGGCCTGCAGGGCATTTTCTTAATTAGTGATTGATATGAGAGGCCCAGAACATTGAGGGTGGTTCCACCTGGCCTTGTGGTCCTGGGTTCTGTGAGAAAGCAGGCTGAGCAAGCTAGTGAGCAGCACCTCTCCATGGCCTCTGCATCAGCTCCTGCTCCAGGTTCCTGCTCAGTTTGAGTTCCTGCCCTGGCTTCTTCCCTCACTGGACTGTGACCCAGGATAAACCTGAGCCAAATAAACCGTTTCCTTTCCTCTCCAAGTTGTTTCATTACAGCAGTATCAACGCTGAGACACCAGAGTACAGCAATGGCTGTTGTATAGAAAATGTCTTATCATCTTCAGCTAGATTTTCACTGAAGACCAAAACACATTAAACTGCAGGTTGTGTCCTAATCACTGAGTTGTGAAATCAGTTGTTTGTGGAAAAAGTCACAGGGAATGAACTCTGGGCCTTGTACATTATAAACACATGCTCAATCACTATACTATACCCTTTGTGCCAATGAAATCAATTTAGGGAGTTGTAGTCAACATTAAGAAAAGTTAAAGGGGGCTGGAGAAATGGCTCAGTGGTTAAGAGCATTGACTACTCTTGCAGAGGACCTGGGTTCACACCCACATGGCAACTTCCAATTGCCTGTAACTCCACCTCCAGGAGACCGACATTCTCACACAGACATACATGCAGGCAAAATACCAACAATGCACATAAAATTAAAATAAATTTAAAAAAGAAAAGTTAGAATAAGATCAGAGCTAACTATTATTTCATGAAACTCGTTTTCATTTACGTACTTACACATATGTATTGAGTCGTATGGCAAATTTTTTTCATACTGCCTCATACATTGGGTTCTCAAATTTATCTCTGTTAATGGAACAGGTAAAAGTTGAAAGCCATTGTTCCACTCCCCCCACCCCAACCTTTTTATTCCTAAGAGGGTATCAATATATAGATCAGGCTGACATTGAACTCAGTCTTCTTGCCCAGGTCTCCAAAGTGCTGAGAATTACTGGTGTTCACCCCTCACCAGGTCAGGTTCTGCACCTATAAGCAGTGTGGTGCCAGGTGCCTGGGGTCCTAGGTTTCCAGAAGCGAAGGCAAGATTAGCCTGGGCTACATAAGACCCTGTCTCAAAAACAAGCTACCTGAGATAGCAGGTGGATACTGAAACTCCACGTGGAATCCAGTTTATTCATTTTCAAACCTGGCTCACATCTGTGTGTCTACTGGGATGCTCAGAGAAGGCTCCTGGGCAGAGCCAAGCCGGCGACTCCTCAGAGGGGGACCTTTGTGGGCGGGGCCTTGTGTGGGCGGGGCCTTGTGGGCGGGTTTTGCGTGAACCTGGGCCTACCTGGGGCGGGGACATCTTGGGGCGGAGCCAGCGGGGGGCGGGGTCGCGGTGCGGAGGGGTGGCGGGAGGCGTGCTGCGCCGTTGCCGGGAGAACTGTTGACAACAAAAGACGTGGGCGCGGCGGGGCGGAGAAAGGCCGCTCTGTGAGGCGGGGGCCTGCGAAGACCTGGGCTGTCCCGAGCCGGACGGCGTGCGGCGGGCCGACGGGCGCGAAGCTGGCGGCGCCGGCCTGCGGCTGTCCCGCTGAAAATCGCGAACACGGCGGGCGAGCGAGCGGCGGACGGAGCGGGGTCCTGAGGTAGCCGCGGGGCCAGGGCGCGGGCCGGAGGGCGGCGGGGCGCGCGCGGCTGCGGCGTGAGGTGGGCGCCGCGGTGTGCCCTGCCCTCGCGAGGGAAGCCTCGGTGCGGCGCCGCCGGTGTCCGCCACCGGCCCGGGGCTGTTCCCCGCTCACGCTCAGGCTCCTTTATGCCGTCGTGAGATGCTGCGAGCTTCGTCACCTGCTGGAACCCGCAGTCCACAACTTCTACACTCCCGCCACGTCCGGAGAAGCCGGTATTTGAAGACCCTATTCCTGGCAAATGACAAGGCACGAGGCCCAGTACTTACCTTGCACAGTTCAAAAACGCAGTGGGTGTCCCTAAATATTACCAGCCAGTTAGGTTTCCTGCTGTTGTTTGTCTTTTAATAGGTTTCCGAGGACCGAACTGAAGCTGAAAAATAACTGTTGCATGCAAGCTTTAAAAAACTTGACTGAATATTGTTTATGAGCCATATATTTATGTATCATTTTTCTTATGATTGCAGTAGGTGACTGCAACAGCATATGGCCACACTGCTTATGTCAACATTGCCGTCACAAAAACCAGTGAGGTGAAAATACTGCAATTACAGTTTGTATTTTGTTCATTTGTTTTTTGTTTTTTCGAGACAGGATTGCTTTGTGTATCTCTGGCTGTCCTGGAATTCACTCTCTAGACCAGGCTGGCCTCTAACTTGGAGATCCTTCTGCCACTGCCTCCCGAGTGCAGGGATTAAAGGCATGTGCCACCACTGCACAGTTGAAAAGTACAATTGGTATTTTTTAAAATTAGCAGTTTCATCGAAAGAAGTTGGGTTAAGCTTAACATAGACCATAACCTTGTGTGTGTGTGTGTGTGTGTGTGTGTGTGTGTGTGTGTGTGTGAATGTGAGCATATGGAGGTCAGAAGACAACTTAAAATTTTAAGTTCTTCTGTTATGTGGGTTCCAGAGATCGAATTCAGGTTGTCAGGCATGTGGCCACAACTGCCTTTGCCCGCTGAGCCATTGCACCGGCCCAGACCTTGGCTTTTGCCTTACTGAGATGACCTATTTTTTAAAAAAAGTGATCTAATCTGTATGATGGCTGTTGGAAGAATCATCAAAGACTGCATCCCTGAATTTCTTAGAGTGCTTTAGAATATAAGGGTTTACCATACATATGAGTGTTGCTTTTTTGTTGTTGATTTGATTAGAATTATTAAAACTGCCAAGCTATGTGTTATCCACCGCACCCCACCCCACTAAAGATAGTTTGTTGACTCTGGGATGTTGAAGCCCAAGGGACCTGAGTTTTTAGTAGTGTCACATACAAGGTTTCTGTTGTGATCCTCTTGGGCATTCATTTTTACTGTTGCTCAGCTTTTTTTTAAGGACTAGTGAACGTTAATTTTCATGGTTAACATTTCCATAGTTGTTAGCTGTGGTAGCTCACACCTCTAATGCTAGTGGGGGCAGCAGGATTGCACTGAGTTCCAAACCAGCCTTGGCTGCAGAGTGAGGACCTGTATAAAGCCAAAATAGTATTTCCATACCAAGTAGTTCACAAGATGCCATTGTTGTCCAGTGGTCTTCTAGGTTGGTGATAATCTTAAGACCCACTTTTACAAAGAATATGCCCCATTCCAGCCTGGCTACTTTCCCTCATACTCCTAAACAAGCGCTCTGGAAACCAAAAGAGATGTCCAAACAAAACAGTATCCAAACAGCCAATTCAGAATAAACCAGCGCACCACTGTCCAAACCAAGGGAGGGCTGAGACCCAGAAAGAACTCACTGACACACATGTGAGGAGGCACTGCCTGAACATTGGGCGTAAGAGGTACCGAGGGCCAGACTGGGTGGCTCCTCCTGTGAAAGCAGATCATTCTTGGGCCCCTATATTAAGGCATCAGAAACTGTTATAAAAAAATTGTCACTTCAAAAAGGAATAAGAAATAGTTTATTCTAGGGCTAAATATGTGGGACCGTGGTGCAGTCCCAGCATCTGGGCATGCCTGTAGGAGATTGTCATATGTTAGTTGATGTAGGAATACTCTGTGTGTGTGTGTGTGTGTGTGTGTGTGTGTGTGTGTGTGTGTGTACATGTGTGTGTGTACATGTGTTCATGATGATCAGAAGACATCTGTGTAAGCCTGTTCTTTCCCATGTGGGTTCAGGGATCAAACTCAGGTTGTCAGGCCTGGTGGCAAGTACCTTTACAAACTGAAACATTTTGCTGTCCTGGGAGACCCATCTTAATTTTGGGAAGGACTGTTTCCTGGGAAGGGAACCCTGGCCTATATAAAATGTAGAAGGCAAGCTGAGCACTAGCATGCATTAATTGCTCTTTTCTGGCTATGGCTATAACGTGATCAGTTTCTTCAAGCTGCTGTCTAGGCTTCCCTGCCATGATAGACTGCACCTTTAAGTTGCTGTCAATGGGATGTTTAAATCACAGCACAGGAAAAGAAACTAAGACAGTGTTTAGAGATAGGAAGACGTTTTCCTATTTGTTAGGATTTTTCAAAGTTAAATTCATTGTGTGTGTTGGGCTTGGGGAGTGAGTCATGGAATATGAGTGGAAGTCAGAGGACAACTTAGTGGAGTTGTTTTCTCTTTCCACCTTTCCATGTGTCTCAAGGCTTGTGTGGCAAGTGCTTACCTGCTGAGCTATCACTATAGCCTATAGTTTTGATTGCTTTTGAACTAATTATTTTAATTATACTGATACAGAAACCCTTAAAACTGCTTTCATGGTTTAATTCTGATGTTCGTGAGATGAAATGCCATTTATCAATACCTTCAAATATAATACAAATAATTTATAAAATTTATTTACTTTCTTTGGTTTTTCGAGACAGGGTTTCTCTGTGTGGCCCTGACTGTCTTGGAACTCACTCTGTAGACCAGGTTGGGCTTGAACTTGGAGATCTGCCTGCCTCTGCCTTCCAAGTACTGGTGGTGTGTCACCGCCACCGGGCTAAAATTTATCTATCTATCTATCTATCTATCTATCTATCTATCTATCATCTATCTATCATCTATCTGTCTGTCTATCTATCTGTCTGTCTGTCTATATATCTATCTATATGTATGTATGTGTGCCTGCATGAGTTTATGTGTACCATGTGTGTGCAGGAACTGGAGTTGTAGGCAGTTGTGAGTTGCCTGATGTATGTGCTGGGAACTGAATCAGGTCTTCTAGAAGAGCAGTAAGTTCTCTTAACCACTGAACCATTTTACTGCCTTCCCAGATATTTGCTTTTAACATTTTTAGAACTCCTTAGTTATTTTTTTTTGCCTGAATTTTCTAATTCTGTTAGACATTATTCACTATTTATATTAGTGAACTAGAAAACATTACCACTGTATAAGTATACAATAGAATCCTTTATATTTACTCCTTAACGTTATAATTAACCAATTCAGTGTCCCAAGTCCCCTCAACTATTTTGAAGCAAACCTAAATGCTGAATTGTTTCATTATTAAATTAAGCACTTTACAAGACAGATCAACTCTTTGTAATTTAATTTGTACTGGTAAAGAATCCATTTTAAAGGATTTTGCTTTAAAATGTGTGGTTTTATTTGCATAAATCAAGCCAGTAATTAAATTGTATCTTTTATTTTAATATACAGGAGTTCTGATCTTACATAAAATGGATGTTTCTCACACTGTTACTGAACATTAAGTAGATAATCTATTCAGTAAAATCCAAGCTGCAATGGAAGAAATACCAGTAAAAGTCGCTGTAAGAATTAGACCTCTGCTTTGCAAAGAAGTTCTTCATAATCATCAAGTTTGTGTGAGGGATATTCCAAACACCCAGCAGATTATCATTGGGAGAGATAGAGTTTTTACTTTTGATTTTGTTTTTGGCAAAAATTCCACTCAAGATGAAGTTTATAATATATGCATAAAGCCCCTAGTGTTATCACTCATTGAGGGCTATAACGCAACGGTTTTTGCATATGGACAAACTGGATCTGGGAAGACATACACCATTGGAGGAGGCCATGTTGGTAAGATTCTCAGAGTCTCACTTAGCATTTTATAGCATGTATGAAGACTTGGTTTCTTTTTGTGACTGAGCACTGTTTTATTGGGTGTGTTTTATTTGGCTTTGCCCTGCTGATAAGCCGTGGCTTGTTTCCTGTTCTAGATGCTGCAAACACTGCTGTACAGCCATCTGTTTGAGTCCTTCATAGACCTTGACATTTTAATTCTGTTTGGTTTCTATGGTACTGAAATAGAGCTAGGTTGCTGTGCTTGCTAGCTAAGCACCATGCTACTGAGCTACATCCATTGCCTTCTTTTTGCTTTTTTGTTTCAAGGGAAAGGGTCATTCAGTTGCCCATGCTGGCCTTAAACTCACTCTGTAGCGCAAGTAGTCCTTGAAAGTATGATTCCCCTGCTTCAGCCCTCACCAGAGTTGGGTTTGCAAGTATGTGGCACTAGGCCCTACCCTGCCATAGCCTTTAAAATAATTTTTGAGGTTAACATACAAAGTCCTAGGTTTCCTCAGGCGTCTTTGTATGCATCTGTCACTATATTTTCTTCTCCATCGTTGGCCCCCCTCGCTACCCTCTCTCATGCCCGATTCTCTCCAGCGGATCCCTTTCTTCCTTCAGCTAGTTCTCATTTCTGCTTCTTGTTGCATGTTCCTTTATATTATTTCCCAACTCCTGTTAGATCTCTTCCTTCTCAAGAGCCCCTTTCTAGTTCTGTGACCACACATATGTGCATATATATGCATATATATGATTCCTGCAAGCATCATGGTTTCATTTTTTATGGCTGTATAAATTCCATTTTGTATATGTACCACATTTATCTGTCGATAGACATCTAGGCTGGTCATACTATCTGTCTTCTATACATATGTGATGTGTCTTTTTTTTTTTTTTGGTTTTTCGAGACAGGGTTTCTCTGTGTAGCTTTGCGCCTCTCCTGGAACTCACTTGGTAGCCCAGGCTGGCCTCGAACTCACAGAGATCCGCCTGGCTCTGCCTCCCGAGTGCTGGGATTAAAGGCGTGCGCCACCACCGCCCGGCTAACTTTTTTTTTTTTTTTTTGTGATGTGTCTTTTTTTAAAAAAAGATTTATTTATTCTAAGTATGAGTGCTCTATCTGCATGTACAGCTTTATGCCAGAAGAGGGCATCAAATCCTCCGTGTGGTTGCTGGGAATTGAACTCAGGACTTCTGTTAGGGTAGCCAGTGCTTTTAACCGCTGAGCCATCCCTCCAGACCACTATGTGTCTTCTATACATGTGTGATACTATGTGTCTATGTAAAATCTAGACCCACAAATAAGAGAAACTGCATGATACTTGTCTTCTTCAAGATGATGATAATATGAATGTCTTCGATTGCATCTATTAAAATGACATAACTTCACTATTCTCTATTGCTGAAAAAAAAAACGCCACAATGTATATAAACCACATTCGTTATCCGTTCTGCTATTGCTTCTACTTGGCTGTTGTAAATAACACTGCAGTGAACACCCACACGCAAGTGTCTCTGGAGTGTGTGAACTCGGGATCTTTTGGTTAAATACACAGAGGTGGCATAGCTGAGTCGTATGGTAGGTCTGCTTTGTTTTCTGAGGACATTCCATTTTTCTGATTTCCACAGTGGTTAGACTAGTTTGCACCCCACCAGCAGTGTGTGAGGGTTCTGTGTTATCTGTATCTTTGCCAGCGTTTGTTGTTTCCATGAAGACTGCCGTCCCAACAGTCTTCTTTTAAGAACTGTCTGTTCCGTTAACTAGTTCATTTATTGATAGGATAATTTTTGGAATTTAATTTTTGAAGTTGTGTATTCTGGATATTAATACTGATGTGTTGTATAATTGAGGAAGATATTTTCTAATCCTGCACTCTGTTCACTCAAGTGATTGTTCCCTTTGCTGTATGATACAAATTTAAATTTTATGTAGTTTGTCAGTTTGGGGGATAATTTTCTGTGCCATTGTAGTTCTTTACAGAAAAACTATCTTTTAATTTTTTTATTTATTGTTGGGGGAGCATGCCATGGCATATGAATGGAGGTCAGAGGACAACTTTCAGGAATCAGGGTTTTGTTTTGTTATTTGTTCAGTTTTTGTTTTTAGCTACAGTTTCTAACCGCAGCTGGCTTGAACTCAACATGTAGTCATCCTTTGAACTCCCAGTCCTTTGGCCTTTACCTCCTGGGTGCTGAGGTTGTAGATGTACACCACTGTGTCTGATTTATGTGGTGCTGGAGCTCAAACCCAGAACACACTTCCTGCACACTAGGCAAGCACTCTCCCAAGTGAGCTACAGTCCCCAGCTCCTTGAAATTGATTTTTAAATTAATTTGCTGCATCAAGGCCTGAAACTATCATCTGTGACTATGTTCATTTTCCTTCCCCATTCTTTCCTTTTTTAAAAAATTATTTATATTTTATGTATAAGTGCACTGCCTGTATACCTGTACAACAGAAGAAGGCATCAGGTCCTATTATAAATGGTTGTGAGCCACATTGTGGTTGCTGGGAATTGAACTCAGGACCTCTAGAAGAACAGCCAGTGCTCTTAACTGCTGAGCCATCTCTCCATTCCCCACCCCCATTCTTAAACTCAGTCTATTCAGACTTCTACAGTCATTGAGATTGCACCTGTTGAGATAATTCTAAATGACATTCACTCTGCTAAATCTAGTAGTCAGTTCATTTCTTACCTTACTGGACCCATTAGCACATCCTCTACTTGGTTTCCAGGTGACCGACCACATTCTTGGTTTTTCTCCTACTCTGCTAGTCCCTTTGTAGGTGCTCTGGCATGTGAACCAACAATTACAATGCTCAAGATCAGTTTTTGCTCCCCCCTACCCCTTTCTCTTTAAAAATTCTTGTCCTTAGTGGTCACAGCCAGCTTCATTACATTACATGCTGTCATTCTGTCCTGATATCATATCAGGACCTGTTATATTTATCTTCAAATCCCTCAATTACCAGAGTCCTACTCTGAAGTGGTCTCCACTCATCTCCTGCAAAAGACAGCAGTGAGAATAGTGTGTAAAATTCCAGACAGTAATGTTACTCTTCTACCCTGTGGCTCTGACCTCAGTCAGAATGACTCCAAATGTACAGTAATCTACAAGGACTTCCATGATCTATTGTACGCCGCCCCTCTGACCTCATCTCCTGTTGCTCTGTTCTTGCTCCCTGTGTTCTGGCAGTCACATCAGGCAGTGCCTTCAACATGCGTCCTTCCACAATCAAGTTTTTGCTCATGACCTTCATATTTAAAATTGTAATCACAGAGTCACACTCCAGTCTCCTTGCCTTGCCCTCCAAACACTCTTCCAGTTTTTGTTTATTTGGACTTATTTATTAGTTTACTTTTGAGATAGTCTTCTCTATAGCCTAGGTTGGCTGTGAACTTTCAATACTCCTATCTCAGCACCTCAGTGGAATGTTAGGTGTATACCACTGTGTGTGGCCAGGATTTTAAAAGACCATATAGTCTAAAGTTTTTCTTTATTGCTACTGCTTCTTTCTTCTCAGGAGGATCTCACAGCATTAGAGAATTTTTCCTTTGTTTTGTTGATTGATTGTTCCCAGAGCCCTAGACTATTGCATTGTATGTAGTAGATACTAAATGCATATTTGTTAAATGAATAAATTCTGCATGAGGGATACATGTGAAAATGTTTGCCCTGAATTTTTTTGTATAGGTATAAGTGCATGGTATATATACACACACGTGTATGTTTTCATGCCTGTGTATCACTCTCAACTCTATTCCCTTGAGACAGGGTCTTTCACTGAATCTGGAGCTAGGCTGGTGACCATCAAACCCCAATGATCCTCCTGTCTCTGCCCTCTGGAGTTACAGACGTGCTTGTGCTGTGCCTGACTTATTACATGGGTACTGGAGCTCTCACCTCAGGGACTTGTGCCTGTGCAGCAAGTGCTCTTACCTGATGAATCATGCCCCAGCCTTTTCCTTTTCCCCCTCGATTTTTTTTTTTTTTTTTTTTTTTTTTTTTTTTTTTTGGTCTTTTGAGACAGGGTTTCTCTGTGTAGCTTTGCACCTTTCCTGGAACTCACTTGGTAGCCCAGGCTGGCCTCAAACTCACAGAGATCCGCCTGGCTCTGCCTCCCGAGTGCTGGGATTAAAGGCGTGCGCCACCACCGCCCGGCTCCCCTCGTTCCCCCGCCCCCCCGAATTTTATGGTTGTATGGTTTAAGCCTAGAAGGCCTTGAACTTGCAATATAGACCAGGCTGGCCTTGCATTAATTCAATTAATTATTATACATTTTGAGACTGTGACTTGCTGTGTAACTCTGGTTGGAACTCTGTAGGCCAGCCAGACTGTCTCTGCCTCTAGAGTGCTGGGATTAAAGGTGTGAGTCACCATGCTTACCCAGTTTTTCATAATAGAAATGTAAGAAAAATATATTAAGCATAAATTTTGGATTGTAGTTAGTTTTTCTTATATTTCAAGTTTCAAATATGCTTTCTATTTCTAAATTTTCAGCGTCAGTTGTGGAGGGTCAAAAGGGTATCATTCCTCGGGCTATCCAGGAGATATTTCAAAGCATCTCTGAAAACCCTAGCATTGACTTTAAAATCAAAGTATCATATATAGAAGTGTATAAGGAAGACCTCAGAGATCTTCTAGAGTTGGAGACTTCCATGAAGGACCTTCACATCCGAGAAGATGACAAGGGGAACACAGGTGAAATAGCTCGGTGACATTACTGAGTGCCTCCAGGTGTCAGCTAGGAAAAATGTGTCAGTATCCCAGGAATTAAAAATGTATGCACAATGAATTTGCTCTTACTTTTTATTCATATACTTGCTTTGCCATGCTGGAAGTCATCCAGCTAGGAAAGTGCTGTGCCACCAGCCTTCTCTTTTCATATTTAAATTTAAAAGATTTTGGGACAGAGTCTCATTATAATTCACCTATGCTGGCCTTGAACTCATGATTTCCCAGACTGGCTTTGAACTTTAATTCTTCTGCCTCAGCCTCATGAGTAGATGGGGTCACAGGTTTGTGCCACCAGGCATGGCTCCTATGTTCTTGTAATAATTACAATCAAAGTATTGAAACAAAGTATTGTCTCTCTTTGTCTGTCTTTTTTCTTGATTTGAGAACTTGAACCCAGGGCCTCAAATGCTCTTTGTACATACTCTCCCACTGAGCTATATAACCCCAGCTCCAGAGGTTTTGATTGTCAGTCATTTTAAAGAATTAAGTATGATGTTTGACCAGAAGCAACAATTGGATCTTAATGAATAAAATACATCTTTTAGAGTTTAAACAATACTATTTCTTAAAACCGTTCCTCCTGGAGCTTTGCTGAAATTATTTAATGATGCTAGTATTTGAAACATTTGAAACATTACTGCTTCTTTTAAGGGACTATCTTTTGGGGTTGCTTAGCAAAGGGCAGCGGTTGTGTGATTAATTTAATTGTACTGGATTTTGATGAAAACATGGTTTTTAAAACTTTTTGTTTTAAGTGATTGTTGGGGCCAAGGAATGCCAAGTAGAGAGCGTGGATGAAGTAATGAGTCTTCTGGAGGTAGGGAATGCGGCCAGGCACACCAGCACCACCCAGATGAATGAGCACTCCAGTAGATCCCATGCAATTTTTACAATAAGCATTTGCCAAGTTGAGAAAAATACAGAGGCAGCTGAAGATGGAGAGTGGTATTCACATCGGCATATTGTCTCCAAATTCCATTTTGTGGATTTGGCTGGATCAGAAAGAGTGACCAAAACGGGGAACACTGGTGAACGATTCAAAGAGTCCATTCAAATCAACAGTGGGCTGCTTGCTTTAGGAAACGTAATAAGTGCCCTTGGGGACCCACGCAGGAAGAGCTCTCATATTCCATATAGGGATGCTAAAATTACCCGGCTTCTGAAGGATTCCCTGGGAGGCAGTGCCAAGACTGTCATGATCACGTGCGTCAGCCCATCCTCCTCAGATTTTGACGAGTCCTTAAATTCTCTCAAATATGCCAACAGAGCACGAAACATTAGAAACAAACCCACTTTAAATTTTAGCCCTGAGTCAGACCGAATGGATGAGATGGAATTTGAGATTAAGTTGCTTCGAGAAGCTTTGCAGAGCCATCAGGCCAGTATCAGCCAAACTAGCCAGACCCCTTCAGAAGGTATTCCTGACCAGAATCGGATCCATTCTCTAGAGGAACAGGTATCTCAGCTCCAGGAGGAATGTCTGGGCTACCAGGACTGCATAGAGCAAGCATTCACCTTCCTGGTGGACTTAAAAGATGCTGTCAGGCTAAACCAGAAACAGCAGCACAAGCTACAGGAGTGGTTTAGCAGGACTCAGGAAGTCAGGAAGGCTGTCCTCGCCCCATTCCCAGGACACCAGGGCATTGGGAACCTGGAGGAAGGACCCCAGCATGTGACAGTTCTCCAGCTGAAGAGAGAACTTAAGAAATACCAGGTACTTAGACATTACTTTATTCATTAATGTGTGTTTTGAGATGGTGTCTTGCTCTGTAGCCCTGGCTGGAACTCAGTATGTAGACCAGCCAGGCTGGCTGGGTCTCTGTCTTCCCTTGTTTCTTGTGTTCTGGGATAATAGGAGTGTGTGATCCCACCTGACTAATAGAATGCCCCTCCCTACTCTGGTGGTAATGGGGATTGAACACCCAGCCTTGTATATGCTAGCAAAGTACTCTCCTCTCTGAGATACATTGCCAGATCTATTTTATCTTCTTTTAAATAAAGTCTTATTCGATTATCCAGGCTGGCCTTGAACTCAGGAACTACTTCCTAAGTGCTGGGGTTATGGGTGTGAACTCTCACACCAGGATCATAGACAGCACTTGCTTAAGTACTCCATTTATTTGGACAAGTAAGTCCTAAAAGTCATTTTGGAATTTCAGAAGTTCTAAATTTATTTTATTTTATTTTGTTACTGTGTAGATGGTATGTGAGGAATGCAAGCATATATTTGTGGAAGTCAGAGGACAATTTTTGGGGGTGTTTTTCTTTTTTAAGTATTTAAAAATTAGCTGGGCGTATTGATATACGTCTTTAATCCCACCACTGGGGAGGCAGAAGCAGCTGGACCTCTGTGAGATCTATACCATCCTGGTCTATACAGTGAGTCTAGGCTGGCCAGGGCGCATAGTGAGATCCTGTCTTTAAAAAAAAAAAAAAGGAAAGAATTATATAAAAGTCTCACTCGCCTTTCTTCCTTGACATCTCTCCATCTCATTTCCTGTTCTTCCTTGAATTTATTCTTTATTAGTTTCTTTTCGCTCTCCTGCGATGTGAGCAGAGAACATTTTAAGGTACTGTGTTGTTAAATAGAACCTTTGAACTTCTATAGCAATTTAGAGGGTCAAAGAAACATTTTTAGAAACAAAATTAAGTTATGTTGCACTGAGTTTCCCTTCTTTGGGTGTGTGTGTTTGCAAGCTTAAACCCAGGGCCTTGAACATGTTAGGCACTCACTGTATCGCTAAGCTACACCCTCAGTCCTTTCTTGATTCTTTTCTTTGACACAGTCTTGTATGATAGCCTAGACTTGCCAGAAACTCCCCTGATATTCTAGTCTTTTCTGGAACTTGAAGTAATCTTCTGCCACAGTCTCCCAGGTGTTGGAATTTCAGGTGTGAGTCACCATGTCTGGCTTATTGGGTCTGTGGTTCTTTTTGGTTTTTAGACAGGATTTCCCATGTTGGCTTTCAACTTGTTAGCCAAGGATGGCCTTGAACTTCCAATCTTTCTTCCTCTACCTCCAAGTGCTGAGATTATAGGAGTATGTCAACCACACTTAGTTTTATTCATTGCTGGAAATCAAACTCAGAGTTTTATGCATGCTAGGCAATCACTCTACCAATTTAATTATATCTCTAGAGTGCCCACTATGGTTCTTGAAAGAAGAAAATACTTTATCCTTGAGTGTAGCTAGAGTTTTCCTGCCTGGCCCACAGTCAGGACAAATCTCTCTCACCTGCCAGTCCCACAGACGCTCAGACCTGACCAAGTAAACACAGAGACTTATATTGGTTACAAACTGTATGGCCGTGGCAGGCTTCTTGCTAACTGTTCTTACAGCTTAAATTAATGCATTTCCATTAATCTATACCTTGCCACATTGCTCGTGGCTTACTGGCATCTTCACATGCTGTTTGTCATCATGGCGGCTGGCAGTGTCTCTCTGACTCAGCCTTCCACTTCCCAGCTTTATTCTCCTCCTTGTCCCGCCTACACTTCCTGCCTAGCCAATGGCCAATCACTGTTTTATTTACTGACCAATCAGCAACACATTTGCCATACAGAACATCCCACAGCACTTGAGTCTGGATTATACATTTTTTTTGAGACAGTGTTTCTCTGTGTAGTCCTGGCTCCCTAGAACTCACTCTGTAGACCAGGCTGGCCTTGAACTCACAAAGATGTGCCTGCCTCTGCCTCATGAGTGCTGTGATTAAAGGCAAGGTATGTGCCACCATATCTGTCTACATACTTGATTTTTAAACAGTGGGTGTGTGCATGTATACATATTGTGTGTATATATATTTAGTTCAAAATTACCTCCACACATTTAAAAAATTAATTTGTGTGTGTGTGTTTGTGTGTGTGTGTGTATGTATGTGTGTGTACCACGTTGCATATATAGAGGTTAGAGGAAAATTTGCAGGAATCAGTTTTCTCCTTCCACCATGTAGGTCCCAGGGTTTGAACTCAAGTCATCAGGCTTAGTGGCAGGCACCTTTACCCACTGAATCATCTCACTTCCACTTTTTTTTTCACTGAAGATTATGTGCAGGAGCTAGTAGAGAACAAGGTAAAATTCAGTTCTGCTTTTGTGGAGTTTGCAAGCAAATTCCAGTGAGGGGGGCCTTCAGTTGTTCCTTAAGTAACACCAAGATCAACTTCCATGGTATTGCTGTTTGCTTGCCTGATGCCCACAGAGGCCAGAAGAGAGCATCAGATCTCCTGGAACTGGAGTTCAAACAGTTCTGGGCTGCCTGGGTTCTGAGTATTGAACCCATGTCCTGTAGAAGGGCAGCCAGTGTTCTTAAACCATTGAGCCATCTCTCTCTAACCCTACTTTTCTTTTTTCCAAGGAAGTATCTCCAGTAGTGTGAGATAGCCTTGGACTCTATATGTAGCTAAGGATGGATCCTCCTGCCTCCATCTCCCAAGTCCTAGGATTACAGGCATGTGCCACCATGCCCACTGTTTTTTGTTTGTTTGTTTGTTTGTTTGTTTAAGCTGGAAAACAATTAAAAACAGTCTTTTTAGTTATAGATTTCAGCAAAATACCTCTTTACATGTACTAGGAAGAAGCCATTTCAAGCTGTACATGTGGCACATGCCTGTAGTCCCAGTACCCAGGAGGTTGAAGCAGGAGGATCTAGAGGTGGAAAAGTCTTCTGGGGCTACCAATTGAGCCTTGTCTGAAAATAAACAAAAAAGCTCTTCTTGAACTTTTTAAATTCAGAGTTTGTTTTCACTTTTAAAGTTTGTAACTTCCCCATAAACCTTTGAAAACATGGACTGTGTGGCTTAGTGGTAGAGCACTTGCCTGTAACTTGGAAAGCCCTGGGTTTGATCTCCAGCACTTGGAAACAACTTAGTAGAGCCATTTACATTTTGGTAAATGTGTCTTTGATATGTGACTTAGTAGAAGACACTTGTATTTTCTTATGATTTAGCAAGATCTTGTCAAAGTTATAAGGAAAATATATCTGTTTTTCAGAGCTGAGGACTGAACCCAGGGCCTTGCGCTTGCTAGGCAAGCGCTCTACCACTGAGCTAAATCCCCAACCCCAGAAAATATATCTTTATGTAGATTTATAATTAGCAGGGATGAGTATTTCAATAACTTTTGAGATAATTGTGGACATTTTTTGATATTATACCAAAACTTAGTAAGTGAAAATTATCTATTGACTTGCAAAGAGTGATTTGAAATTATTTTGTTATATTATGATTTATAAACTAAAACCTACTGGTCTCTATCTTGACCTTTGAGTGAATCTTTTTTCTGCTTATGATTAAATGATTATACAGTGGTCATTTGGAAAAGAATTTAGTGTTACAGATATTCCAAGTGTTTAAACATTTTTATTTTAAATTTCTTAATGTCACCGGTGATCTCACTAACAGAGTCTTTAGCAGTTATATGGAGCTGTTACACTCCCAGTTGCGGAAATGGTTTCTAAAAATCTTAATTTTTCTTTTAATGAAACTTGAAGTTTATATTTTTGTAACAAAAATATACTATAGCACAAATTCTAATTGGTCTTAATAATAAAAACCCAGAGTCAGATATCAGGATGAAAGCTGAAAGATCAGAGAAGCAGAGCAGCCAACCATTAGAAATACTTCTTGGAATCCTCAGCCTGAAAGGGCTGAGCTCCACCCCACCTGTCACTTCCTCTCTCCTCTTAGCCGTATCACTTCCTGTTTCCTTCTCCTAAGTGCTGGGATTAAAGATGTGTGCCACCACTGCCTGGCCTCTAGTGGCTTCTTAGCTCCACACTCTGATCTCCAGGGAAGCTTTATTTGTTTTTTGTTTTGTTTTGTTTTTTTTTTTGGTTTTTTGAGACAGGGTTTCTCTGTGTAGCTTTGCGCCTTTCCTGGATCTCGCGCTGTAGACCAGGCTGGCCTCGAACTCACAGAGATCTGCCTGCCTCTGCCTCCCGAGTGCTGGGATTAAAGGCGTGCGCCACCACCGCCCGGCTGGGAAGCTTTATTTGTTAAAGCACAAAGTATCACTTTTTGTTACTGTGACAGAATATGTGCCAAAAGCAACTTTTAAAGGTGAAGTTTTCTTTTGGGTCACAGTTTGAAAGTCTAGTCCATCATGGCAGGACAGGCATGACAGCAGGAACAGGGGACTGCTGGTCACGTAGAGAAGTGAATGCTGGTGCCATACTCACTTTGGGTTTTTTATTCATTCTGGGATGGGTCTTCCTTCTTCAGCTAAAACATTTTATAATATCCTCATAGACACACCTGCAGTTGTATGTTTCCAAGTGATTATAAATTTAGTCTAGTTGACAATGAAGCTCGCCCATCACAATTCCATCCCTTATCAACTTGACATCCATTGTTTTAGGTCATAACATCCCATCCCTGTCTCTAGGTCTCATTTTCATCTCATAATACAAAATGCATTTAGTTAATCTCTAAATATCCCCATAGTCTAACAGTCCTAAGATTGCTCTAAAGTCTAAAGGATCTTCTGAGACTCAGATTTCTTAACTTTGGGCCCTATAATGTCAGTGTGCAACGGCACCAAATAAACATGTGCAATGTAGAAGGGAGAAACGGGACATAGCAAGGAAGTGGGACCAAAGCAGGACTGAAACCCAGCAAGGAAAACACCAAATCTTGCATCTTCATGTCCAGCATCTGGGGCTTGTGATGTATCATCTGGGCTACAAAGGACTTGAGTAGCCACATCTCTCCAGCTCT